ACAATTTCATAGTTGCAACTATGGAGAATCTTAAGCCAGAAAAACTCAATAAATAGAGAGTGCATGTTGGAAAGAAGACATCGAGTCTTGAGCAGAGAAGAACTATTCTTGGTCTCTCTTTGTCTTTAGTATTTACTACTTGTTGTCTTTGTTTTAGAAGAATAATATTTCTTCATAAGTTCTTTATTCCTAAATTAGTTTTTCTTACTTCGTAATGGAGTAAACTTCTTTTGTTGGGATAGTTGATGAAGCTTGATATATATATATATATTATAATACTATCTCAATTTAATACATCCTTGTCTTGAAACTTTCTATTTATATTTTATGTTGTGCTATAATAATAGTTTTTACCTAATCATTGTTATCAGTTCTATATATTTTATCGTTAAGTTACTATCATATTAATTTTGTAATTCTCACGGAGCAAAATTAATATATAGTAATTATTGACTAAAATAGTAAAGTGAGAGCAATTATTAGCAGGCTATTATTAAAAGTCGGTAATTTTGCTTGACTCAGTTTTAATTCTCACGGAGGAATTGTTGTAGGCAAGATTATTGATTTTTTTTTAGTAAAAATATTCTCACGAAGTTTTTACTACCTCTAAGCACAATTCAAGCAAGAAAAATATTTCGGTTTAACTGTCACCAGTTTTAACTCAATTAATTACATAACCTCACGAAGTGTTATTAGTTGATTAATTCTTGGTGAGATAAGATATAATTGTGTTAACAATAAGCAATTATCCTTTAGAGAAATACTTGTATAAAGTGAAATTTTATTATAATATATTATCAAGTGAATTCAACGATTCCCAAATCTTTTTTTTTAAATTACAAATCTTTCGAAGTTGTTTAATCTTGTTAAGTATTTAAAAAGTTTTAATTCCACAAACTTTTCATCAATCTGATTCTCTCAAATAGTAGTTGAAATATTAAGGGTCTGTAGCATAGATGTTCCAATATCTGTGGGACGATATCATAAACTATACTAGAATTTGACAAAGCACGAGCAGGAAAATCCTATACACATTGGCCTCGTCACAAAGTGTGGGGTCCATCCCCATCTAGAAAACAAAAAGGAGAAAACAGATGCCAAAACCAATTATGGCCAAAATTGGTTTTGGTTCTCGGTTCGCAAGTTGCAGGAAACCAACTTCTGATTGGTTAAGAGTTACGGTACTTCTTCCTATAAATAGAAGCCTTCAGCATCTCATTTAATCACACCAATCTCAGAGGAATATATAACTGAGAGTTAGAGAGCAGTGTGAGGTACTCACAAGCGGTGTAGTCTGTGAGGGAAAATAGAGAGTGTGAACGATATTGTAGTGAGGTGGGAATCTTAAAAGAGGGTTATTTTTTTGAGTGTATAGTGGTCCCTGAAGTACTTTACTCGGGATTACAGGGTGTAAAATTTCTCATTAAAGTGGATTGCTTTGCTCCTCTTTGGCTCGTGGTTTTTTCCATTATTCAGAAGGGTTTTCCACGTTAAAAATCTTTGTGCCCTTGTTGTTCTTTTTATTCTTATTGATTATCGTATCTCGGTACTATATTATTGTTCCGCTATTATTACCATGAATATTATTTTTGTGGAGGTTTATTTCCTACAACTGGCATCAGAGCACAGGTTCTGCTTGTTCACATAAATACTCTTCACGGCCGGTAGTACTATACTTGGTGGAAAATAAAATATCCGGAGTAAAGTACGAAGTAGTAAAATCCAACAGAGATAGTGGTTTCTCAACATGGCAAAGAAGGATGAGGGATTTGCTCATCCAACAAGGATTATACAAGGTATTAGATAGTGATGCCAAGAAGCCTGATACCATGAAAGCAAAGGATTGGGCTGACTTGGATGAAAAGGCTGCTAGTGCAATCAGGTTGCACTTATCGGATGATGTGGTAAATAACATCATTGATGAAGATACTGGATGTGGCATTTGGACAAGTTTGGAAAGCCTATACATATCCAAAATGCTGACAAATAAATTGTACCTGAAGAAGCAGTATATGACCTACATACGGGTGAAGGTACAAAATTTTTGTCACATTTAAATGTGTTTAATGGATTAATCACGCAGCTTGCCAACCTCGGAGTAAAGATCATTGAAGAGGATAAAGCCATCTTGCTCTTGAACTCATTGCCATCTTCGTACAATAATTTGGCAATAACCATCCATTACGGTAAAACCACCATTGAGTTGAAGGACGTCACATCGGCTCTTCCACTCAATGAGACTATGAGAAAGAAGCCTGAAAATCAAGGACAGACTCTCATCATAGAAGGTAGAGGCAGGAGTTATCAAAGGATTTCAAGCAACTATGGTAGATCCGGAGGTCGTGGGAAGTCCAAGAACCGATTCAAATCAAAAGCCAGAAACTGCTACAATTGCGATCAACCAGGTCACTTAAAAAAAGATTGCCTAATTCTAAGAAAAGGAAAAAGTGAAAGCAGTGTCCAAAAAAATGACGACAACACAACCGACATGGTGCAAAACAATGATAATTTTGTCCTCTTCATAAATGAGGAAGAGGAATGCATGCACTTGGCAAGTTGTACAGGACAAATGCAGAAATATGCTAAGGTGCATTGAACACGGCACATGATGAGATTTCTACAGATTTGTGGCACAAAAGAATGGCCAGGAAATCACTCATTTCTTATGCCAAAGGTACAACGGTAAAACTTTGTGACAACTATTTATTTGGTAAGCAGCATAGAGTCTCATTTCAGACATCGTCTGAAAGAAAATTGAATATACTTGATTTGGTATATTCTGATGTTTGTGGTCCAATGGTAGTTGAATCGATGGGCGATAACAAATATTTTGTTACTTTTATGATGATGCTTCACGAAAATTGTGGGTTTATATTTTGAAAATCAAAGATCAGGTGTTTCAAGTTTTTCAGAAGTTTCATGCTTTGGTGGAAAGGGAGACAGGCCAAAAGCTAAAGTGTCTCCGAACTGACAATGGAGGTTAGTATACTTCTCAGGAATTTGAAGAGTACTGTTCAAGTCATGGGATCAGACATGAAAAGACAGTTACTGGAACCCCACAGCACAATGGCGTAGCCGAGAGGATGAACCGCGCCATTGTTGAGAAGGTGAGAATCATTCTTAGAATGGCTAAATTGCCTAAGTCATTCTGGGGTGAAGCAGTTCAGACAGCCTGTTACCTGATCAATAGGAGTCCATCAGTTCCATTGGAGTTTGACATCTGGGAGAGAGTTTGGACCAACAAGGAGGTGTCCTACTCGTATCTGAAGGTGTTCGGTTGCAGAGCTTTTGCACATGTACCAAAGAAGCAGAGAACAAAGCTGGATGATAAATTTGTTCCCTGCATGTTCATCGGATATGGAGATGAAGAGTTCGGGTACAGATTGTGAGATCCTATAAAGAAGAAGGTCATCAAAAGCAGAGATGTAGTCTTCCAAGAAAGTGAAGTTGGAACTGCAGATGACCGGTTAGAGAAAGCAAAGAATGGTACAATCCCTAACCTTATTACTATTCCTTCTACTTCTAACTATCCCACAAGTGCAGAAAGTACGATCGACGAGTTTGCCGAGCAGGGGGAACAACCTGGTGAGGTTATTGAGCAGGGGGAGCAACTTGATGATGATGTCGAGCAAGTGGAGTACCCCACTCAGGAAGGAGAACAACCTCAACCTCTAAGGAGATCAGAGAGGCCAAGGGTAAAGTCATGCAGGTACCCTTCCGCAGAGTATGTCCTCATTAGTGATGAGGGGGAGCCAGAAAGTCCACTCAAATGAAAATGGGTCTTTAAACTCAAGAAAGATGAAAATGGCAAGCTGGTCAGATACAAAGCTCGATTGGTGGTAAAAGGATTTGAACAGAAGAAAGGTATTGATATTGACGAAATTTTCTCACCTGTTGTCAAAATGACTTCTATTCAAACAATCTTGAGCTTAGCAGCTAGACTAGATCTTGAAGTGGAGCAGTTGGACGTAAAAACTACATTTCTTCATGGAGATTTGGAAGAGGATATTTATATGGAGCAGCCATAAGGATTTGAAGTAGCTAAAAGGAAGCACATGGTGTGCAAACTAAATAAGAGTCTTCATGTCACGACCCAAGTTTCCCTCTGTAGGATGTCGTGGCAGCACCTAATTTCTAAGACTAGGTAAGCCTAACAGTTATGCGGAAAGAACTGAAATAACGACTAAAAACTCAGCATCAACATATATATATATATATATATATATATATATATATATATATATATATATATATATATATATATATATATAAAACTGCCGCTCGGCATCTTAATTACATAGTTCTTGCTATATTGCTTTTATTTCATAACAAAACCTAATAATTAAACTATTACTACTATTATTGAACTTGGTAGAACCTCTTCTTCTTTCATAGAATAGATTATAGATGCATGCTCAATCTCACCATTCCCCTTCTCCAATCTTCTGACCCTTTCCACTATTGTAATAAAATTTAGGAAAAGATGTTAGAAGGTAAATGAAAAGATTAATATCTTTCAAGGAAAAAAATCGAACAACGGAACAAGGGAATGAAAAGGGGGCCATTTTCTTGACTAAGATAATTTTTTTTTTTTTTGAAATGCTTTAGGCCACTGTCAAAAGATGAATGATTGAGTACTAAATTCCCAAAAGTAGCTCAGCCATCATTTTCTTTCACTCTGTATGCTTTATTATACCAAAAAGTTCACCTAAGATATTTTGCATAAATAATTATACATGTCTGCTCTAATTATTTTACTCTTTCACCAATGTTTACTAAAAACAATTTTGGGAGGAATTTTTTATCACATTTTGGAAATTTAGCAGTGACCACACCTTTTATCAAAGAGGCAAGAATGCTCTAGGTCCAATTTAGCTACAGATTTGGGCCAATGTAGCAACTAAATCCAGCCAGGTCTGTCAAGTTGCTGCTCAGTCTCAATTCAAGGTATAGTGCAGCTCATCACAAAGATGTTCTATAGATTTGTCCAAATAAGAGAAGAAGAAACAAGAAGACAATGCTAAAATAAAGAAACAACAAATGGTTTCTTTTAAAGTCTATGTACAGGAAACAATTACATACATTTTTCTCCTATGACTCATCTGCCTATTCATGCAACTTATTACATCTTCCTCAAACCTTTCCCCAAGTGGTGTGTGCAAAAAGAATGCTGCACTAAATTATCTAAAAAACACTCTGAAAATATCTATTCGTGTACATTTGTCACCTAGACGTTATTCCAAAAACTCTGTTGTGCCATATTGAATGGAGAATCATGTTAAAAACATCATACTTCACAGGCTTGACGTGCCAAAGGAAATGCTGCTGCACCATCTTGACCCTTCTCTGCATCTCCCGGTACCTCTTCTGTGGGATTGATACAAGTATGTCTTTCAATTTCGGGATGTCCTTCTCCGGTAAGAAAATGGCAAAAGCCTCCCAGTTCAAAGTCTCGAAAAAAGGGGGTACGAAATTGTCAGATATAATCACAGGGACACACTCGTAGAAAATGGCCTCCACCACTCGAGGACTGTTGACTTCATAACCTTTTGCACATATGCAGTATTTGCTGCTCTTCATGTATTGGACATAGCTCACTGTACTAATCTTGCCGAAAATCTTCATATCAGGATCTTTGTTTTCCCAGTAGTTCAATAGGATAGGACGAAGGTAACCGTGCATGTTGCCAGCAAAGAAAGCAAGGGTCCGTCGCTGAGAAAGACGCTTCCCCCCAATTTCTCTAAGGGGGTTCTTAGCTACACGAACATATGTTTCTGGAAGCGACACATCTTTACCAAATTGGAAGCCTTCTTTGATGTCAGCATTGCACAAAGCTCTTATGCAATTAGCCATAATTCGTTTTGTTTCTTGAGGGGCCTGAGGAAGAAACTTTTCATTTTAGTATCCAACAGAAAGTCATATATCTGCCTACAAAAGTATGTATGATTTATCTTTGATCGAGAAATCAGAAAATATAAGATGAGATTGTGCGGACGCAGAAAAGAAATATGGATAAAATCTATGGGAATCAAAACAAATCTTTTAATACACATTTGGGAACTTAGATTAAATTGAATGAAAAATCCAAAACTTACCCAATCATGGCAGGCAACAAGAAAATGGTCAGCTCCAGCAGTTCTGTTCCAAAAATTATGTCTTTGGATAATGGTGTTGAGGTAATCGCTTAGATATCGAACTAAGTTCCTACGACTATGAGAATTTGGTACATACAAGGCCTCCTCTAGCATACGGGAGCTGAACGGTAGATAAAATAGGTGAGCCTTTTTGGGGTTCTTGGTAACTAAATTTTTGTTTCTTTTCAGGAGCTTCATAAACCAGCCCTCAGAAGCATATATTCCTTTAAGCACTGGCGTATGGAATACTGGTCTTTCACCTTCAGAGTAAATGTAAACTTTGAGAATCTGCTCCATCAATTCATAGCTCCTACATGTGATGTAAGTCAACCAGAGAAATGAGCCTCAAGCATATTGAAAGACAAGTAAATGCAAAGCTTCAGAAACTGTAGGAGTGGGTAAAAGCTACAGGAACACTTGACCGCCTCTCTATAGATGCAACCCGCAAATGCTACCAGTGAAAATCAAAGAACTAGGTGAAAATCTCATGTAATCTCAAACTAAAAAACTAAAGACCGGAGGTTGCGGTCTGTGCTTTCCATCTGTCTCACAGGGCTCCTTTTGTAAAGAAAACAGTATGAAGTACACAAGAATCTTTCTATTATAGCTATTTTCCCAGAATTCAGTATATGCAACAGCCAACTAACCCAAAGCAAGCATGAAAGTCACAGCATGCACCAAGAAACAAGGTGCGCATGACAGAAACTAAAATATCGCATTATAGCAGCTCCATATTTTCTTATGAGTAACAAAGCATAAGCATCTGATCTAATGCAGTACAACTCGATGCACGTCCAACATTAGAAAATGTCCACATTACAAAAGAATAGATTCATTGTACACTTCACAATTTTTTATTACCTCTTAAACATTGAGAAATTTCTATATAAAGGAGCATATAGGCCAGGTTCATTTCCTGCCAGAGGTGCGTTTTCGATGAGACTTTTTGCATGTAGTAGTTCTTGATCAGCATCTGAGGACCATCGTGGTTTCTACAGAAAAAAGCAAAGAAGAGGGACTAAGTAGTATATTAAGCATCTGTTCGTCAATTAAGCAAGTCATATCCCACTCGAGAGTACCAAACTAACATACATACCATTGAATGAAATGAAGTGTGAGTCTCTCGCTGCATTACATTCATTTCAGCTATTGATACTACACTATCTTTTGGCCCGCCCGACTCCTTCTTAGCAGGAGTGTTGCTTTTAGAAGAATGACTAACTGAAGGAGCATGGTCAGTGCGAATTCGCCCAGGTATTTTGTCATTTTCAAGTACATGGCCTGTGCTTCCTTCTTTTGCAGATATGTTCTGATAGGAAGAAATCAAAGGAGCTCCCTTTTCTGCATCAACATTGACCTGAGGTGTCATAACCATTGGTGGTGGTGCAACAGACATTTCTGTGGGACTTATATCCAACGTTTTAGCTTCCCTCGGTGCTGGAGAATTACTGCCTCCCCCATGAGTATCATCCACACGCGATGAAGAACTTTCAGATGTTCCATTTGAAGCTTGTAAATCATATTCAGAGTCAGCAGTCTTATCTGGAGCTACGCTACTATTTCTTCCAAAACTTTCCCCAGTAGACTTGTTGCCCATTTCTGAATCCTTAAAAGGGGATTCATCTTCTGGATCAACGTCCTCAGTTAAAGTATCACCGGAGGCTTCATTCATTGGGGGCATAGAATCATCCTCCACCTTTTCATTGTTCCCATCAGAGAGCGTGGTTTCATTAGTTGCTTCATGGATAATATTCGTGTTAGTAGCATTCACAACACTAGCATGTGTCAGGTTTTCTGACCTACTGAAATTACGAGATTGATCTACTCTTTGCGAGCTGCTTATTTGACCCACATTGGCAGTAAACAAAGAGGATAGGGCATAACCATATGGAAAACCAACATACTGAATCACCAAAACAAGGGCAAAAACCACGCCCAATAGCCATATCAGTCGCCTAGTCTCTAACAGGCTAAGATATTTTTCAGAACCCATGTTCGATTAGCACACCTGATAGAAGAGAGCACAGCACTAACCCTGGTTAATTTTCAAATTCCATATTGAGTAGTAATCCCAAATTCAGTACTGCTACATAGTATATTTCTATACATTTCACAATAACTCAGTACTTGGGTAACATAACAAAACACCACCAGACAAAGAATTCAATTAAAAAAGACAGAAACCATTCCTCCAAATATTTCAACCTCTAAACAAGTACAATTCTCCACTTGAACCAATGGTCAAACTGATGTTTTCACCATTAAGGGCCAAAAACAGGATCATAATTTTCTCTGTGTTACTAAATTAATCAACACTTAGAAAATGCAACCTAGCAAGAGCTGCTTGGTCAACAAAATAGCATCATCACCAAACAAGAAAAAGCAAGTCAAAAATTAATCCTCCAACAATAAGAGTACAACTCAAGAAACCAAGAGAACAAAAAAAAACCAACAAAACCACTGAAGATAATCAACTGTGTTTAAAAATAAAAATAAAAAGATAATCAACTGTAATACGAAAACCAACAATATATACAGCAGCAAATGAACTGAAATCATACAGTTGGCTTCAATTACCAGATCAAAAGCAGACAAAGAAACTGCTTCAGCTTCAGGCAACGTTTGGCTACTCAGTTAACTCAATAAGAAGAACCACTTAGGATAAAATTCCAACATATTTAGCAGCTTCATCTGGTAAAACTAGCTAGTTGGAAAAGTTGGGTTTCGATTGAGTTGACCAGTTGTAACATCTCATACATCATATACCCAACTGATACCTAATAAAATATGCATAACATATTAGTCATATATACAATAAAATATAGTAGTACATTTTTTTTTAGTACCTTTACAAGATTTGGAAACATCATGACTGATTAAATGTAGAATCTGGGAGCTTTCTTTTTGTGTTTTCTGTGCTCTTTTTTCTCTTTTTTCGGTTGTTTTGCTGTTATGACAGCAGTAAAGGTGGAAAAAGAAAAAGGAAGGATATGAGTAGGCTTGTGATTAGTGGAATCTAATAAGTTAATTAGGTCACGTGTTCGGACAAATATGCCCATCCGTTTTTCGTGATATTGCGTAAGTGGCACGTACAACTGTTGGCTTTTTCTTCTTCCTCTTTTTCTTTTTTTTTGGGTACGACTTTTGGCTTTTTCACGTGAACATGTTTGGATAATTGTTATCTATTTATATTGTATTGTTAATTTTAAATATAATATTAATTTTAATTATTATTTAAATTTTATTGTATTGAATAATTAAATTCGTTGTTACGTAACGATAAAAAATACTTCCTCCGGTCCAAAATAAGTGATTTTTTGAATGTTTTCACACAGATTAAGAAATCCACCTTTTAGCATTAATTAGCAATGGAATTGACCATATTAACCTTTACTATCTCACATAAACACACCTAACATATATTTCAATATTATTTACTCCAAGGACAATGTAGGAAAAAAATAATTAATTCATTCTTGAAATCTGGAAAAATCATTTATTTTGGACCACAAGAAAAAAGCCAAAAAATCACTTATTTTTGACCGGAGGGAGTACTATTTTTTTTCTTATCATGTTCTTTCTTATTATTAAATAATCTTATTTTATTTTTTATCTTACATTTTTCTATAATAATTTTATCTCTTACCTTACTTTTTCTTGTAAATGCATATCAACTCTTGCCTCTTGGGGTCTCCAGATGCACTTCTCGTTGAAACGGAGGTAGTATCCCTTTGTTTAATTGTCAAATAAAACTAATTAAATTATTTTCTATTTATTATTTTATAAGAAATTTAAATAAATATGAATAGGAGTATATGTTTCTGGAAACACTGAATGGGAAAAAATAAAAAGAAAAGGTTTACGATATAGTTTTCATCTATTTAAACTTGACAGAGTTATCTACTGTCTATCTTGCATCCGTAAAAGATAAGAATCACAAGTAATTCAATAAATTAGTGTGTGTATGTGAGGGTGGAGCGGGGAGTGTGTTGCACATCTTCAGGTTTTGCACCCATCCATTTATGAACTATGTCATGCAAATCTACTACTACCACCTAATTTACGGTATTCTGTGGTTGTCAGCTACAATTTAATGTGGTGTTGTTTTCTATATCATGCATTGGTCTTTTGTCAGCGCCTTAACTATACTCCTTTTTCTTTACTTGTTCTGGGACTGGGAGGGTGTGGGCCAGTAGAATTCGAAGAAGTACAAAAATCGTCGTAAAATGTTAAAAACAAACAGTTATTCACTCATATTATCCTTAAAAAATGGGTTGTATAATGAGTTTTAATAAGAATAGATCAAATATGAATAAGTACAATATTATTCACTTAGAAAATGGATAACTGATGAGTTTAATTTATACATTTGTAAAGCCTCAAATTGGGGGTTCCTCAAGTTTAGGAGATTAAAAATTCTTCAAAAGTGATCATATTCAAAAAGCCATGGATAATGTGGATACCTATATTATTCACTGGTTAACCCTTTTTTATCCATATTAAATATGAGTGAGGTCGAATAATTTATCTGCTTTTACATAACCCATTTTCAATCCGCCCATATACGACCCGACCCACCCGTTTGTCACCCCTACACGCAAGGGCGGATTTAGGGGGCCGGAAGGGAGTTCACCCGAACCCCCTTCGCCAAAAAATTACACTGTATATATAAGGTAAAATCTGGTTTTTACCTCAATATATTAAGTTTTTAACCCCCTTTAACACAATCCAAAAGTATAGTTTAGTGGTCAAGGGGGTTCAAAGCCTTCAGAAAGTCATAGGTTCAATTCCCACTAGCTACAAAAAAAAAAATTTGAACCCCTTTGTTGAAATTCTGCCTCCGCCATACCTACACCCAACCAACCACTTAAATTAAAAAAAAGCCACCATGTATCATTTTTTTTGGAAAGAAGAGGTAGGCATGAACTCACGGACACAACAAACTAACGCACATAAGAGACTCCTATAGAGTCATGAAGCAGTCACGAGCCTAAGCTATCAGGAGGTTCAGCAAGGAAGTGGACACCAGGGCCGAAAGAGTAAGCGAAGTGAGACAAAAAATATGTTGAGAAGTTTGCTTCTCTTTGAACATGAGAGACCAAATTAATGTATGACCTATATACTCTAATTAGAAAAAAAAAAAAAAAAAAAAAAAACAAAAAAAAAATTTCGGTTTGGGGGGAAAATTTTTTTTTTTTTTTTAAATTTTAGGAAAGTACCGGTACGGGCGTAAGTACTGTGTAAAAATACCCGGAGGAACG